AAGGTTTAGGACTTGAGGGTTCTTGGGGCGGTTCGGGTTTTTGAACTGTTTTTTTGGTGTTGAATGTTTCGGAGTTAGGCGGGACTTGTTCCACAAACTTTTCCCGACGCCCATAACCCTAAACCCCAAACGTCGTCAACCCTGCGACTCTTCAGCTGATATAGACCTAAGAATAAGTTGGGAAAGATGGGGGCGGGGGGGGGCTCAGCAAGCTACGTTGTAGGCACTCTAAGGGGATTGCAGCATAATAAGGACCCAAAAAGGGACCATGATTTTGACAACCACCCATATGGTTCCAGAACTTCAGGGACAGCAACGTACCTGTTCGAAATACGACAAACACCCCATGCGCTGCCTGCCTTAAACATGCACCAAACCCTCAACCCCCGAATCCCCCGAAGCCTCAAACCCGAAACCCAAAATGCCCTAACTCAAGGCCTTAAACCCTCAAGCTGTAAGAACTAAAGCCTGACCCTAAGGGTCCAAGTAATCCTTATGGTTTTCGTAGCCCAAATGGACCCAAAATCTTATGATAACAAGTACCTGGACCCGTAGGGTTAGAACCCCCCAAGTGCCCTTTAAAGGGCTCCCATATTTCTCATTAAGAGGTATTTGGGGGCTACAATAAAGGGTAGTTGGGGGGTCTAGGTAAACCTGTAAACCCTAAAGCCTTTTTGAAACGAAGCCATAACCGTCTCGCCGACTCTCGGCCTGGCCACTTCCACCGCCGGCGAATGAAAGATCCAAGGCCGAGCCTCCCTAGGGGCTACGGTTTAGGGTTTACAAGTTTCGGCTTTCTAGGCATTAGGGTTCAAGGTTCCGGGTTTAGGCTTTATATGCATTAGGGTTCAGGGTTTAGGGCTTAGGTTTTAGGGTTCGAGGCTTAGGGGTTTAGATGGGTTGAAACAGGCTAACAGGCTGCAGAAGGTTTTCGCAGGCTTTCGCTTGAGGACTTGCTATGATTTGTTGGGTCTGCAACGGCTTCCTAGAGTTCAGAAGGGCTCTTTTAAGTCAAGTATGGGGTTTGGCGAAGGCAAAAGAAGAACCAGCGTCTGGGAGAAAACCCTGAAACTTAAGAGAGTTTCAACTCACAAATGAGAGAGCCGAGAGTAAAAGCTTAAGCATCACAGCGGTAGTTACAGGCATCACAAACGGAGCGTGTAACCACACGGCTTGATGGCTGTTGAAGAATCCTTTAGAAGTTTCTTAAGCTCAGGAGTGCTTACCTGCTGCGGGGTCTTGAATCGAATACTTGAAGTCAGCACCAGTTCCAAGCGCTTCTGCAAGATGGGGTTGCTAAAACTTGGATGCCCTTGCGATAACAATCCTTTTTGGACGGAGAACACCTCCGCTTGATGAACCCGAAGGTGTACCCATGCACAGCTTGTACTTAGGCCTTGTAGGGTTCCTATTGAGCAATAACTGCCAAAATACATGCTGATTAAGTGAATCTCCCAAAACAGTAGGGACCGTGCATCGTCGCTGAGGACGCTCAGGCGCTTCTCTTCGTTCCACAGCCTCCCAGTTGCGGGGCAGAGAACGAATTCCCATGCGCGCCTCCTGGCGCCTGGTGTTTTGCTCTGTTTTCAAGCGTTTCGGGGAGGTTTTGGGTTGAGGGGGGGGGGTGGGGGGGCGGGGGTTAATAACGACATGGTCGACCGCAACGGTTTTCTTGCTGCCAAAAACACTGGCAGTGCCGGTACTTTGGAGCGTTTTATGGGGCCTTTTGTTCGACTGGGAAGGGAGGGTTTGGTGGGGGTGTCAATCACGACATGCTGAACCGCGATTTTTGCCGAAAACGCAATCCCCACGGTGTGGCTCGATTTTCGTGTGTTTTCCAAGCATTTTCTTCCACTGGTGCGGGGCGGTCGTCAGGCGGGGGGCCCGCACAGTGGCTCGATTTTCCTGTGTTGGCAGTAGCAGTAGCAGTAGCAGTGGCAGTGGCAGTAGCACAGTACACTAATAGTGCAGCAGCAGCACTAGCACCCGCAGTAGCAGTACCAGTACCAGTGGCACTAACAGTAGCGCAATGGTTTTCTTGTTGCCAAAAACACTGGCACTGCCGGTACTTTGGAGCGTTTTATGGGGCCTTTTGTTCGACTGGGCTGAAGGCACGAGTCGTTCTGCAGCAGTGTAGCAGGCCTAGTAGTAGTAGGTAGTAGCACTAGTGGCCGTAGTCCTCAGTCCTGATATTGGCTTCCAACAACATGCACATCGTTGGCATTCTCAGCATCTTCATCTTCTTCCACCGCAGCAAGATGCGTCCCATGTCTTGCTAGCGAGTGCCGATACAGTACTGAGCTATTGTCAGTACCGGCCAATGGTATGGCTGGCACGAATGCCCATAAGGCATAAGGGAACACGGCGCCGTGGCGCCCTTCGGTGCTTTGCACCACTCGCCTGAGTTACTACCCGATGGCTTAGTCATCTAGGGTGTCGAGTCTTCACGATGCGAGCCTTGTTGATCACTCGATTGCCGTACAAGTAACTGTGGCGATTC